CCAAATGCTGCTCTTGGGGGACAGAGAGCTCCCATGAATAGTTTAGGAGGAAATCTGACTTCTTCCATTGTGGGGAGTAGTGAAAATCATTCCTCTCCTTGTGGACATGGAAATCCAGCAAATGTATGTATTATTGAGTGCTACTAGGTAAGTGTAATGATTAACAGAATTTAGTTCAAAAATAAAGTCAATAAATGCATGAAGTATATGAAATAGAATAATAATTGTTACATATTGTGCTGAGCTTTACAGCAGGTATAAACAGCACATTTATTCCACCAGTGCATTAGGAAAGACCCCCACCAGGTCTCCCTGGATACACAGAGTACAGACATAGGGCTATGGTGGCTGAGAAGCTTGCTTTCTGGGTGATGTTAGTTAATTGAGCATTCTGGTTAATCAAATGCTGGATAACAAAGGTTTTACTATATTTAACAATACAATTTTAAAAAATGAACTCAGAAGAACATATAAACTTCTGACCCGTATCCATTTGTCAGGAATAGCCATGGCTAGTCGGTAATCAAATCCACCACCTCCTTCCATTACTGGACAAGCAAGGGCTGGCATTCCAGAAACATCCTTGAAGAATAATACAAAACAAACAAAATTATTATTTGACAAGAATTAACAACACTACATCCTCAAAACAAGAAAGCTTTCAAGGGTAGATGGAGACAATAGAGTAATAACAATAGGTACTGGGTACACCTGGACACAAATCTCATCTTTGCTGCAAAGATCACTGGTTGCATTTAGCTTAGTCACCATCTCTCATACTCTTTCTCACAGGGTCGTTATGGGAATAAAATGGAGAGGGGGGAAAGCATGTACACCACCCTGAACTCCTTGGAGGAAAGTGTGTGTGTGTGTCCGTGTCCGTCCAAGACCATTTGTGGCTCTGTAAGTGATAATCAGAAGCTTTTAACTGAACCTCATAACTGGTTGGTAACCAAGGAAATGACTGGAGAATGGGTGTGGCATGCATGTCCCACCTAGCACCCTGTAGTAACCAGACTGTGGTGTTCCGCGATGGCAGCAATTGTGAGTTTCCTATGATTCCTCTTTGTATAAAGATTGAAATTATATTAATGTTCAGAATTTCAGCAAACTGCATACATGAGAATCTGTCAATGCTGGTAGGTAAGCCTATTTTGCCCAAAAAATTATTGAACAACCCAGTGGAGAAGAGGCCACTGGTAGCATATGACAGTCTGCCAGGGGACCTGTTAACCTCCTGGGTTACTACAAAAAACATGAGAGGTGTCAAACAATGTGGAGACTACAATACATGTTTGTTAGTCTGCATTCAGATAGGCAATTCACAAGTTATGCAGGCCTGATGTGACTGTTTGTTAAGGGATGTTTTTACTCCTCTCTGGTTAGGTCTTCACGGACGTGCTCATAGAATTACGTAACTGTAAGAGAAGATGCCAACATAAGTAATCTTATGAGAACACACTATCACATGAACACTCCAGCATCAAATATCCAAACACATTAACTTTAATAGGCCTAGTTTGCAAGCAAATAGTGCAGACTCTTAGCCCAAGGAAGTAATGAGGCATTTAGAACTGTGACTGTTTATTAGTTTTAAACAATAAATTATTAATAGAGGACACAATGCTGCTACCAATCACTCATCCTCCCATTAAAAGGAGGAGGCTAGTCTGATTTCATAACTATTAGTGTTAGCACAGCAGAAGCAGAATCTAAGTGTAAGGCACATATCACTTTTCTCATATGTTTCTCTTCCCTGTGCGTAGGAAGAAAGTTGGAGTTGGAGAATATTCAGAACATTTCAGGGGGGAAAAACATTCTGTTGCTTAATTTTATCAGACAGGTCCTTATGGAACAGGGCTATACATCAATCCTACTCTAGACAAAAGCATATTCCTCTTCCGTAGCGCCACTCATTCCATTATCATTACATGCAAGCTCAAATTCATGCTAGCCATTTGTAATTTAGAATGATATCAATAGTTCCTCCTTCCCAACTTCTTCCCACCATGAGCATGTGGATCAATTCCACATTTTGTATAGAAGCTCCCACTAGACAGAAAAATGATGTATTGAAATTGAACTAGTTTTCAATTTAAGTAGAATAAATTGAAGGCACATCTTGTTAAAAAAAGAACCTTAAATCAGGCAATGCAAACAGGCTTGACTCTGTTTCATTGGTAGGAATACTGATAACCATGCACTGGCTTCCTGACAATGAACTAATTTTATTTGAAATAAACCCCAAAATCAATAAGACAATTTTAAGTTTAATACATCCCATAATTGCTTCATTTCATCAACTTTTGTTTTAAATACTTGATGCTACTGAGATCTTGCCAATACATTTTAAAAAAAGGAATAGACCACAGTAAATTAATATATGCAATAAGGGAAGCTTGAGTATGACTGGAAACTGAGGTCCTATATCACAGGCTTTCAAGCTGGGATGAGGCTTCAAGCTGTACTCAGTGCAGTAGGAGCGGAGCTGGGAAGACTTGTGTATGTGTGTGTGTGTGTTTGTGGTAGTACTCACTGGTACTAAGTATTGACACCTTTTGGGGGGACTCTCCCAAGTCCTGAAGCAGAAATTGGTGGAAATATATGTGTACCAGCAGCATTTTTTAAAACAACAAAAAGCACTGAGGTAGATACAAATAGGATCCACTCCACTAAGTCTTATGAAACCTTTGATCCTTTCAGCCCATTTCTACTCATTCATGATATATTCATTCAAGTTGTATATAAACTAACTACATCATTAGTTATAAATAATAAGGGAAAGAAATGAAGAAAAAGCCTCGAGATAATTCTTTGCTTGAAATAAGCTGCAAATTGCATGAATAAGAATTTTACTGAAAGCACTTTGGGGTTCACAGTTCTTTATGATAGCAGCATTCCTTTGTGCCTCAAAACATTTCTGATTAACGCTATCAAGTTTTATTGATAAATGCTATCTATAATACTAAACATTCCAATGAATTTTGATAATAACTAGGATAAACATTTAACACTCTCAATTTATCACAAATTAGACTTTTCATTGATGCATATATCTCTGCATAATTGCTTTAGAAATATTAATTGTAAGCTTTCAATGCCATTAATAACTAGTGCACATTTGCAAATCATAAACAAAGCAAACTTATTGTAACATAGTATGAACATCACAAGAGTATTAACTAAAGATCATAGTACATTTTAAATTTATCTTCATTATCTAAATATAATTTTTGAAAAGGAAAGTTTTGTCTCTCACTATTAAAATAATATTAGTGGCTACAGGTAACATCTGTAACATCCTAATCATAATACTGACAAATATCCCCCCCCATGAATGACAGTGGTTTATTAAAAGCAACCTCATTTTAAAGAATCATACTACTATGCAGGCAAGGCGGGATATAAATTGAAAATAATAAATAAATAAATAAATAATGTGTACAGTCCTGCCCCGCTAACAACATTTAAGTCCCATTATTTAAATGGGACATATTTAAGCTTGTATTTAACTTTTTCACTGATATCTAAAACTAAAATATTTAATAATAGTTTGACTGTACACAAGGATATGTAAAGAAAAATTCATATAATCATAGCTGATTCAGTTAAATCATCTTTCTTACATGCCCAGGGAAATGCCAATCACCACTTTGGGGTCAGGAAGCAATTTTCTCCAGGCCACTTTGGCCACGGATCCTGGAGGGTTCCCACCCCCATTTTCTGGGGGTCACTAGGGGTGTAGGGGGGAGGTAGTTGTGAATTTCCTGCATTGTGTGTGGGGTTGGACTAGATGACCCTGCAGGTCCCTTTCGACTCTATGATTCTATCTTTCAAATAACTGAACAACTAAAATATAAGAATGAAAATATATTCTAAAATTACCTCAGCTATTGTTATACATTCTGGATGTAAGAGATGTATCATGTGATTTGACATCATTAGGTATGCCAAAGCATCTTCATCAACCTGCATACCAAAATATTCATTGTAGTCTCCACTAAAACCTACACCTGGAAAGAAAGAAAAACGCAGGTAGTCAAGGAAAACATAACAAGTCAAGTTATGGACATTCCCACTACATCTCCAAAATAAATGATCAACAAATTAAAGAATTATTATGCCACTGTATTATGACATTACAATTCCGACAAAACAAATCAGACTTACCAATTCCATGATGGTGATATAGCATTGATGAAACGCCATCAAATCGAAAGCCATCAAAGCCATATTCTTCTATCCACCACCTTAGGTTAGAGAGAAGAAATCGTAGAACTTCCCAGCTGAAATATTAATAGCATCTCATCAGTATTAAAGCATATTCTGACAAACCGAGCCAAATGTATCCCCTTTTTCAGCATGTGCCAATCCCTTTTCTACACTGATGTTTAGGACAGAAAGTCAGAAAGGAACAATCAGGGCCCACGGAATATTTGGAGGGAAGGGAGGAGTGGTGAGGGGGGGGGGAATGTTGTTTAAAGGAGTCAGATAGGGTTTAGAGGTTCCTTAAGCAGGATAGGGACCTTCTTCTGGCTCCAGTCACTTGTGGTGACAGTGTACTGTTTAGTGTGACAACCTGCTGCAGCATGAACTTGTAGTCAGTTTCCATTTGTAGTCTTTCCAGGTGATTGGAAAGCTAGTGGATGATTGGAAAGCTATTGGGCAGACTGAGGTCTGTGTTTTATAAGAGGTGCAGTGATCATCTGAAACTGACCCCAGGCCAGTTTGGTGTAGTGGTTAAGTGCGCGGACTCTAATCTGGGAGAACCGGGTTTGATTCCCCACTCCTCCACTTGCACCTGCTGATGTGACCTTGGGTCAGTCACAAGCTCTGGCACAGCTGTTCCTGAAAGAGCAGTTTGTGTCAGAGTTCTTTCAGCCCCACCCACCTCACAGGGTGTCTGTTGTGGGGAGGGGAAGGGAAAGGAGTTTGTAAGCCGCTCTGAGACTCCAAGTGAAGGGCGGGGTATAAATCCAATCTCTTCTTCTCTTCTTCTTCTTCTTAAGAACCCTGATGAGAACTTGGCATTTCCTAGCTTACTCCTCACTCTCCATAATTAAATATTTTAAAATTATATATGCATACATACATTTCAGTGGTATAATGTTGGTTCTGAACATCCCCAGTTTGCTCCCCACTCCCACTATAAAAAAATTATGTTTCAATCTCAGTTCTCCTCTTTGATATTAAGGGCAGAAAATATCATAATCAGGTTTAATAAGTCAGAGGAGATGGTACCTAAGGAACACCATCATGATTTACATTCAGAGTGGCTAGCAGTAAATGGTGCCAAGCACTTGTAGGCCAGTCAATAAACATTGTTTTGGCCTCTTTCACAATTATACTTGGTGTTGTGATGTGGAAGTGTTGTGTAGGGAGACAGCCCCCAGTTAATCCCAAAATCAACATGCACTGTGATCATGAGGACAGTGGCAGTATACTGTGTGGGGATTTTCATGCCAAAATATTTTAGTGCTTGCTTCTGCCACCCCAGACTGTCATACATACAATCTACCTAACATCTCCTACAGCAAATTGCACCACATTTATTTTCTAACTGGTATCATCATCTTGGTGACACCATTTGGTAGATGAACAGCAACGTGTAGGTTTATATGGGATGAGATTAAAGATGCAAAACATGTAGCTCCATCTTAAGAAAATAAAGACATACAAATGGAAATATTTTATGGCTTCCCCCATCTGTAGAATATGCTTTCCCTGTATTTTATTCTATATTTTGTATATGTTGGGTTTTGGTAGCTGGGATATATTGGTACGAACTCAGAGTGAATATAGAAACTACATTCACAACAACATTTGAAGCTCCAGATTCTTCTAGGTGATACCAGCTTCCCATGACATTGATACATTTTGATGTTATATACTTTGTGTTTTTTAAAAAAAATATAAATACACAAAAAGCATTATCTGGTGTTATTACAAATTATAAGAGGCATTATCATTACATTATCATTACAAATTATAAGAGGCAACAACAATTTAAGAAACTATGTAAGGAAGAGTTACTATCTTTATGGATTAAATCAATCTGTCCTTATATATGAGAAAGAGGATGCCATTTAGGCTGGTCTTGGGGGCAAGCATTCGGCGCAGGAGGCTCCCGAAGGTGGTGCATTCGGGCTTCGTTGTGGCTGGAGGTGGCCAAGGCAGGTTTCTTCCCTCCCCTCTTTCGTGGGCTGCCAACTGCGGCCCAGCCTGGCACTCTTCCCAGCCATCTTCCCCAGGCGGGACGGTTGGCAGGGCACCACCACCCTCGGCCGGGCTCTCAGTGGCACTGTCGGCGGGGGTGGGTAGTGCTGGAGGCGGCCGCAGGCTGGTCCCTCTGTAACAGCTCTGAAGCAGCCCCTGCAGGAGGACAGGGAGGCAGCACTGGCCTCAGATGGGCGTAGCAAGCCCAGTGGCAGCTCCTCTGGAAGGGCGTAGTGCAGCGAGGCCCCTTCCATCGCCGCCACCCACCCGCCCAGCCCCAACAGCGCCAGCTCTACCCCCAGCAGCTGTCTGGCTGTGCCACTCATCTCCCCGCTGCGCTCACCGGGCAAAGTTGCTGAGTGGTTTGCTGACTTTCATGACAAGTTGGCTGTCCTTGGCAGGCTTGCCTGCTTGCCTGCACACCTCCCAGTCCCAGCAGCCTCGCAGCGGCGGTGGCCGGGCACTCGGCCATGGCTCTCCAGCCACGCAGACCAACCTGACTGGCCCCCTCGAAGGTGCTTGCTTCACGCCATCTGCCACTTCGCTCGCCGCTTGGTGCTATCCCACTCAGTGCGCTGGCCCCGGTCGGCATCCCTGGGTCAACAGTGGAATGTAGAGTCCCGCCCCGGCCACCTGATAACTGCAGTGGCCCGCCTCTCCCCCTGCTCACGACAGCCCTTCTCGGTCACCCAGCAGAGTGCTCCAGAGCACCTGGCCTGGGGTCAGGGCCTGGTGAAGGGCTGCCACACATGTAGGAGCCGTGGCTCCATGGAGGCGGACTGCTAGCAGAGGCCAAGGCCAGAGCCTCCCGACGACTGCGGGAATAGCTGAAAAACAAGGGTCCCTGATGTTTCAGAGCCGGCGGGCACCTGTGGAGTTCTGGCACAGGGCAGTGGGCACAGTGACAGAATGGCAGCTACCAGAGGAGGAGCCCATTTTCAGCTCAGGTTGATCCAAATGCACACACCTAGTTGCTACTTTAAAACTTTTGATGGTACACACATTAATTTTTATGAAGGACACCAAACAGGTCTGTATTTATAGCTTTATCTTATTTTTCAGACTGTTGAATAACACGACATTCTCTGTTAGGATCACATTATATGTAATAAAACATATGACCTGATTTTGATATGCAAAATGACAAGAGGCAGTGGCTAATCAGCAAACCAACCACATCCCTTTCATTATGCAGCCCTCATTTTCTAATGAATTTTAGACAGTTCATTGAAATTTGATTATCATGTTATTAAATTACTGGAGAGTTGTTGTTCTTGCTTTTCTTCCTGTAGTGTCTGTATATAGGAAACATTATGATCCCACCCAGTGACACAATTGGTACAAATTATTTTTACACATTGAATTAAATGAGGAAGGCAATTGAGCAGTAAAGACTGAATCAAGACTAAGGTTTTGTGTCTTGTAATTTTTTTCCATTCCCCCTCAATGCTGGGGGGCTCAAAATTTATTTCAACTAACACTGTCTCTTACAAGAGCCACAGCTTTATGTTATTATTTTTAATGACTAAACATCCACAAAAAAAAGATGCCAAAAAAACCCAAAAAACACCAGACTGGATTACTGCAGGTCAGGCAACGGCAAAACTGTCTAAAGAAAATTTTCTTTACTTTATCTCAAGAAAGCCATGTAACAGCAGTGAAGCTACTGCTATATTCTGAACAGCTGAGGAATTAGAATCGAAAAGGTTATTTCAAATTTCAAGACACAGTCAAAGAAAAACAAGACCTTTTCAAAAATTATTAATTCCGAGTAAGATTCCTGAATTATTAGATTCTCTCCACCCTAAAATTGGAAATCTCCAGATAATAATTTGGATTCAGTCACTGTGGTTAAGGCACTCTTCAAATATGAATGAAGGGCTTTGCTTTTCAAGCACGGTTTTGTTCTTTTGTGGATATTAAAAATGAAATACATTTAGTGGAAGTTAAAAAGATCTATTGACTTGAGAGATAGTCTTTTTGAACAGCTTGGTAAGATGGTATATCTTAATAATGATTTAAGATTGATTCAGAGATACATCGGAGAGTGAACAGAATACAAAAGTAGCCTAGCCCAAAGGTTTCCCTCTTGTAAGGAACAGTATCTTTTTAGCATTTGACGCTCAAGTCAACAAAAGTTGGCTCAGGCTCTTGTGATGAACACATACAAAGCTATCTTCATTTGTGCATTTGCAGCAATTAAATTAAACAATTTCCCTGCTGAGCAACTTCAACAGCTCTGATTTAAGTGCCCCCCCCCATAATGTATTTTGTCTATAGGTAATTATTAACTTTAAATAAGATTAGGACCAAGCCAAAATGCTCCCATTTTGCTTCCTTGTTTACAGCTTGCATATGAGGAGGGGGGACATTTTTCAGGGGGAATGGCAGGAGAGGGCAAAAATTTGTCTACTAGGTGATAGCTTTCTACCACAGTCGTGCACTATCAACCCTTTTTATCCTCAGCCAAAAATGCCAGAATGAGGGCAGAAAGCATTGGCCTCACCCATGGCAATACCAGCCAGCCAGCTAGATTTGTTTATGTGATAATATCTGAAGCCCAAAACAGGGATCAGGGCAATATTTTCTGCTTCCTCCCTGTGTGTGTGCAACACTGCTTAGACCACTGAAGAAAGCCTTTAAGGACTGAAATGCATCTGGCTTAATGGTTATATATTTTTATGTAAAACCATTGTTGACATCTTGTGCTCACTGTACATGCAACTCTAATAGGTTGATGTATATGACAGTATTTAAATTTTTCATGTATGTATGTTGTTTTTAATCTTTATTTGGTGCACTGCGGAATAAATATGAATATTATCTTTGCATGCTCTTGCTACTAAACCTTTTGAGTACCTAACTTGATCTTCAGGTTGTGTTTGTTTCCCTTTTGCTGTATCCTCTTCAAGAATAAACTAAAATGGATGCATTAAAACACTTAATATTGTAACTGAAAGCAGAAACACAGTAACAACAGTTCTTCAAGTGAGCTATATGGAATGCACACAGCACTATAAATTATTAAAACCACAAAACAAGCAGCGATGAGTCTGCCTGCATTTTCTTC